GTCTCAGCCTCTGCGGCAAGGACGACGCCCGCCACGCTGACGGTGGCCATGAGGAGTGTGACGGCCAGAGCAGCCAGGGGGATGCAGGGCCGTGCACGCAACACAGGCAGGAAGCCCTGCGGTCCGCCGGGTGCGAGCAGGTGGTGAGGGGACGGGCGCCGTTTGAACGGCGGCTGTGCAGGGGCGTTTCTGGAGAGCGTACGTGTGGGGTTAGCCCCTGCTGCCATGCGGCCGCGCGCACGGGAGTGCCATGGCGCGCTCGCCGGGTGGCGTAAGAGGATTATTCGAGGATGCGGGTGCGGGCGCCGCAGGGTGGTGAAGCGACAAAAGCAGCCCCCTGCGGGCGCAAGCTGACATGGCAAGGGGGGGGGGCGTGCGGTACCAACTTGCCCCACAATACGACACATCACCGGTGGCTCGCCGTCGCTCATCAGGCGTACCCAGCGACAAAGCTCACACCTTTTTGAACCGCCGCCAGCGCGTGGAGAGCGAGCGCAGCACCGCCCTGCCGCGCCGACGAGAGCTGCTGCTGCTCGACGCACACAGCCCGTCAATCCACTGCCGCCGCTGCTCCGCGCTGCTGTTTGGCTCCGTCACATTCGCGGTTTCAATATCGTTGTCTGTCGCTGCCGGCTCCATGCCCTGGTTCCACGTAGTACCGCAAGTGTCGAAAGGCCCGCGGCCCACTTCGGCACCGCTAGGCAACAGAGTTGGAGTGATACATGGCTTGAACAGCTTCAAATCATTGTCATGAAGCTCAGGACGTCTCGCAACACAAAAGTCACCCGCTAGGGGCGCGCTATTCAGGCCGCGCAAACATCCGCCAAGTGCACTGGGAGATCTGCGCCGATGGGACTGCAAACGGCGCAGTGCAGTGCAACCAGCACACCATTCTAGTAGGTAGCCATATATATAATTTCAATATCACATGCATATAACCTGCATATGCCCATGTTGGGGCTGGTCAGCGCGCAGCGATGACAAGGGGCTAGCCTGGGCTTGTCCTTCGCGATCTGCCCGCCATGCGCCGTCGCCGCGAGCCCCCATCGCCGCTGGCAAGGCTCGCATCGCTCGACCCATCCTGCACCACCCAAGTTCCGACAGATGCAAACCACGCAGCACGTGGGCAGGCAGGCCGTTGAGCTGCAATCACGCAGGCCTCCACTTTCTGGTTCAATTTTCGGCCGCTTGGTGCCAACGGCCTTTTAGTGCCATTGTCATTGATTATGTTGTGATCAACAGCGCCAACCAGTGTAAGAAGCACGGGCAACTTCAGCCCGTTGACGCGTCGGTGTGGCGCACGAACGGGGCACAGCCATGGTTGGTTTTCGCGCCACACAGCGCTGTGGGCCGGGAGGGTGCGCGCTTGTAGCCACGGGGCCGCCTGCGGGGCCGTTGGTGGGATCTAGGGCGGGGCCCGGCCATCTTGACACATTTCGCTGCGTGTTGCGCTAAGAGGCGGCCCAGGCTTCTGACATTGACGCCGCCAGGGCAACACTCGCCGCCTTTGGTGAAGTTGTTAAAACTGCAAGCTGGGAGGACGCAGCACGCCGCATGAGGACAAACCCGCTGCTTGGTCCCAGATGCAACACCATTAGTAATGCCAGACCGCACAAGCGCCTGTTGCTGCTGTGCGCTTACCTGCGTGGCCATGGCAGGCCATGTCGTGCAAACGGTAACATCAACCCAATCTATACTGCAATTGAGGGCATACGCTTGGTTTGAAAGTGTACATTCAGCAGCGCTTAAGCCTCCTCCAGGCACCAGCAGTCGGTTGAGGCTTCTAGGCCAACTTCACAGCGAGAGTGCATGCGCCCGCCCAACGTGAGGAGCAGCGAGTCTTGATCAGCCACACCTGAGCACATTGTAAGTTCCTTCTTTGTTTAAATCCGCACCCAACTCTGCGATATCACGGGCAGATTGGAACATCACTGCCGTGTTCGTGGCTCTGCGGCGTGCAGCAGGGGTACAACCCCGCAACTGCAGCAGATTTGACGTTCAATAAGCGTTTTATGGCTGTGGGAACCGCTTAGGCGCCGTTTCGTCACTGCCAACCCCGCAGCCAACGCTGGCTCTGCTTTGGCCCCAAGCCACGACTGCTCAGGGGAGGGACACCGGGATGCTGCTCTGTTGACGCAGGTATGTTCAAGACACAATCCGACCAATCTAATTGCCATGCCAGACTAGGGCCTTTACATGACTGACAGCCCTCCCATGGCATGGTGGGGGGCGGCACGGGGCAGCACGCAGAGCACTCCCAGC